AGTCCAGATATGGAACAACTGCATTTAATGTTGGCACATAAGGACCTTTAGTCAAAGCCAGCTGCTTTAGAGTGGAAACTCCAACTTCTGTAAATGGTTAAGATCAGAAAGATATGTGATGCATCAATCATAAAATCGGAATTTTGTCTTTAATTACGTTATATTCCTTATTTTTTTGAATACTTATTATCTCTAAATGACTCTTTTACATAAAATCGTTAGAATAACAATTTTATTCCTATCCCATTTAATGATGTGTATATTGAATCTAAATATTGCAAACCAACTATTTTTCTTCTTAAATATCTGTGAGTTTCATGACATATTTTAGCTCGCAAATATTAATTGTTGTGAACCATTCATTTTGCTTTGTACATGTATTTGTTGTAAAGAATATTTCCTCAGTCACAAAAATTATTTGTTGCAGATTGATTTCAATTTGTGAATCCTGAATAAAGGATGGAACGGATAAAATTTGGTTTACAGTAGCTACTAGAAGCATATTATCGGTAGATAGAATGTTCTATCGTTTAAATGATAAATGTCCTACGGACCCGGTTTAACGATAGAATTCGTTCCGTGTAGCTGTAATGTAGCAAAAGAAACACGGGCAATAACTCGTACTCTGCGCATTTACTAAGAACAATCTAGAGAGTTCTGAATGCAAACATGGCGCGTAAATTCGAAGCGAAAAAAAGACGTTGAGAAAATTGGTTGAATTCTTGTCTTTATTTTGTTTGTATCTTAGGTTTAAATGCATATGCAACCTCAAAAAAGGTTTGTTACAATTAATTTGGCAGTTATTTTGACTGCAAATTTTTTTATGTCCTTCCAAATCGTTTCGGAGCGATTCTTCAATTTTTGCTACATTGTGAGTCTATGGGAGGTATTCTAACTGTGGCGAGGGCTTGTACCGAGACACAGTTAGATTATTCTAACTTGAGCAGGGATCGACACTAACTTTTAAACCATAGTTGTCAGCAGGGCTAACCATTTTGAATTTCTACTAGCCCTGTTCATGTATTAGTTGTCCAGCAGCCGAAGGCCGGTGGCCGAGTCGCGAAGCGACGAGGGGGGTAGGTGCGGGAGGGGTTTTCCCCTCCTGCTGGTGGGGGTACGGGGGGCCTCCCCCGGAAAATTTTGAAAATAGAGATGCCAAATCCTGCATTCTGGTTGTATTTTGGGTAGAAATTATATGCCACTCTATGACTGTACCTTAGACATTCTTCTATTCGAAAAAGTCCACATATATAATCATTTTGGGTATTTCGAATCACCTTTAAATTTTACAATTTTGACATACAAAAAAAAATAATTGTAAACGTTTGAAAATAGATTTAATAATTATTAGATACATTGTGTGTAATTGATAATTATTTTTGTTGCTCTGAGTGAGTATTTAGTAAAATTCTCAGTAGCCCTGCAGGGCAAGTTTAAAGGCATGTTTGGTAGCCCAACCTCAATATTCAGTTGTCCCGGGCCAGCGGGCTACCGTTAGTGTCGAACCCTGTTGAGGCATATATATTGTAGGACCTCCAACCCCTCCATAAGTGAAGTCTTTATCATATACAATGTACAACATTACACATTAGAAACCCTACCCCCTATTTCTGTGTCCTCAGATCCTATTCTCCGCAGGCCAGCATTTACTTCCTCTATTTCCTTTCTAAGGGGAGCTACAATGGTCTGGCATATCCACTAAATTCAAAAGAAAAAAATATGTATCAGCAATACATATTATGATATACAATCAAAATCAGTGTTTAATACCCTATTATTAAACTTGTATTACCCACCCACCCCCCAAAAAAAAAACATTAAAAAAAACAAGTTCACAATTAAAGTATATACACAACTTAAAACAACTTTATCTATTCGCTAATTCAAAGTTAAGGGGGCCACTATTGGTACAAATATATTTTAAACGGTATGAACTAAGATCCCTTGTCTTAACAAGAACAATAACTCCTACCTTTCTCAATCTCTCTGTCCACAGAAAGAGGTCATCTTCTGTCACTCCTCTTTTACTCCACACCTACATGTAAATAATATACATTACACAAAAAAACCGCACTCAATCCAAAATATCTGTGATAGTTTGGAAAAGTCAATATAAAAGCAATGTCTGAAATGCTGAAGTTGATTTTTTTTTAACAGTACAAATACTTTTGTTTATACATTAAACTTTTGAAATTTGCAAAACAAATCTAACTTGTGTCATTTATTTTGAAAATAAAAAAAATCCAAGTTGTGTTCATGCATTAAAACTAAAATGAAAACGATCAAATCTTAAGCCTCCAAATGATGTGCAACCATGACAAGACACATATAACTGCCCAGTATAAAGATGCTATTTTTTCGAAAATATCATATTTATGGTAGGCACTGACAACCAACCAATCACAAGAATGAATATTATTATCAGCATCTTTTCATATTCAATAATTATTATCCAATTATTGATGATTCCTACAATAACTTTCACTGTGCATTGTGGAGAGGGGTCATAAAGGATATAATTGCTACCCAATCCGTTTATATGTTATAACTTAATAAAATGTGTTCAAATCAAATCAATAACTTACATCATCCCCACTGAAGGAGTTTGATTGGTCGTTGTCGACATTGGGCGTGGCTGAGGAGTGGGAGGAGCGACTGGCCAGCTGATAGACATACTTTTTAAGTACGTGGGTATAGTCCATGGCCGACCGTCCATAATTCCAGAAGGAAGAGCCACCAGAATTCTCTGGCGAACCTAAAAAAAAATAAAAATGTAAAATAAAATTAAAAATTTTTTTGTAAAAAAATTTCTTGATTAGCTGATCAGAGGTTTCAACTCTTAATAGGTTTTAGCTGATCAGAGGTTTCAACTGCTAATAGGTTTTAGCAAAAAGCAAATACATCTAACTACTTTTTTTCTTAATCTTTATGCATAATTATTCAGTATTACTTAAGGTTTTAGCTTACTGATGGCTGCTTTGATAAACTCTTTTTCATCATGTTCTTTGAGGTACTTGCTAAGTGAATGAAGATCTGTAATTCTGTCCAATGATGAAGATGCTACTCAAGAAAAGAAAAATAAATGCTTCAAACTTGTATTTCTTGTCTAATTCTTAAACAGAACTCAGAATAAAAGATTTTTGTAATTCAACCACCTTTTAAATACTTACCTGCAGCATTTTTCATGGTTTGTGACAGGGAATGTCTGGATCTAAGCCCACTGGTGTCTGCTATTCCAGTCATCCCTGGTGATCCTGACATAAATCCAGACAAATTAGGGGAATACCCTGACATATGATGAGTAAATCCAGACACATTAGGACTAGGTGTAAACACAGTCCCTGGACTATAACTTGACATATTTGGACTGTATCCAGATGGATTCGGACTGTAACTGGATAAGTTGGGACTATATCCTGATAAATTTGGGCTGTATCCAGATAAATTAGGACTGTATCCGGATACATTTGGACTATATCCAGACAGATTTGGATTGTATCCGACTATCTGTGGACTGTAGCCTGAGACATTGGGGCTGTATCCAGACAAGTTTGGGCTGTATGCAGACATTCCAGGACTCGTAGAAAATTGTGAGAAAGGTGTTCCTATTGTTCCACTGTGTGATCCCTGTTTAGGAAAAAAATGACAACCATTTCAGATTGAAAGTAAAAAAATATACATACAAATAGAATTTTATTTAATTTTGAAATTAAAAAGAATGTAGATCTAATAATAAGAATCATCATGAATGACACGGACTATGCCATAAACAAGACAAGGCAAGCATAGGTACGTATCAATGCTAACAGTTCTAGCTAAGCTGCTTTTTTGCTTAACTGAAAGGAACTACTTTTTAAAACAATTTTTCTGCCAACAAAACTATGAATACTAAATACATTACCCTGTCAAAACTGCCCTGGGAGGAGTATGGTGAGTAGGTGATGGATTGGCTGCTGTAGTTAAGGGACCCTGACCCCAGGTTTGTGGGGGTCAGCCTCCCGCTAGACGAGCTGGACTGAGCGGTGGGGGTGGACACGGAGAACACTAGGCTTCCCTCACTGGACGGAGACCCCGGGGACTTCTGAGGAGACACCTTAAATCCTAGATCTGCATCCCCCATAGAAAAGGGGAAAAAAATTATATCAATTTACAAATTTTTATAAACAAATTTCCATACATCAATTAAAGTTTAAATGGAATTTTCAGAATGATTTAATGTATGTACCAACTTGTGCTTTGAATCTGTGACACTTGTGGAAAGTCAATTTTTTATTTATTTATTTTTTTTTGGGGGGGGGGTGTTAACAATAGTTACAATATTATGTAAACATAATCCTCAAAGTGTTATTATACACACCTGTGTCTTTGATAGCTAGTAGTTGTTTTTGTTCTAGGGTCAGATCCACTGAGGTTGAGGAAACAAAGGGTCGTAGATATGTACAGAAATCGAAAACTGTGTTCAGCAGCAGTAACAGAGCAATCACACATTCTGTAAAATAATAAAGGCAAATACAGAACAATTTGCTTCTACTCATATCCCCTCCAGATTTTCAAGTATGGGTATAAAATTTTTACACCTTACATCATGATTATGTACATTCAAATGTGTATTTTTGCATATACATTCACCAGAAATCTAGACACATTTATCAAGTAATCAATTACTGCTGATTTGAGCCAGGGGTAAATAATGACCATACAATTTGTAGTTTTTCTCTATTTCAAAAAAGCAAAAGAAAGTAGTAATATTGCTTAAAACTGAGAGATGTACAATTATGAAATGGTGCAGAAAAAAACCTTTACCTATGTACCAAAATATGGGTGTCTTCAAGTTAAATTGACTTCTTATTCCAAATATTGTCCTGTAATGATAATGTATTGAATCAATTAATACAAAAGCAATAAATGACAATATTTTACTTATTACGATCACTGTACAAAAAACCAAACACAAAAGCATCAACTTTATCAAATTATCTATTCTTCTGAAAAATTAATTTATAAAGATTTATGAATTTATTTTTTAATTACTTGTATGAATAAATATTACATTTACAATAAAACAAGCTAATTCAGAGAATTTGTGTCCCCCGCTTAGGGAAAAAGTAAACCATGCGCAGTTCGGGGGTGGGGGGGGGGGTCAGATCCCCTTGACTGAATTTGTAGAATTATTAAATGTATACATGTATACTGAAGCGAATAAAATATGCCAATATGGATATAAAGGTTTGATTGCTTATTCTGTATTATGTGTATAGAAGATTCTTTTTATAGGGAATATTTATCACACTGTAATGATGATTTTATGAGTTTGTACAAGCCAGACCTCATAAATTTTTCATTTCACATGAATACTATCATTTATTTTAAAAAAAAAAAGTATTTCGGAAAAAAAAAAAATTTTGTTCGCCCGGGATGCGAACCCGCGCCCTCTCACATTTAGAGCGAGAGACATACCACTAGACCACAGAGGCGCTTTAAACTAGCAAAAATTATATGCAAAGATGAAGTCACATACATGTATATATTCACATTCGATATTGTCAAAATTTTACACAATGCATGATATCTAATTTAACCTTTATTAAACAGTTCTAATAGATGTAATAAGAATATAAAGTCCACCGAGAACCTGTTTTATACGTAAAAACTCTCCTCATGCCCCTGTGGTAAAAATAGCGACACGTAATACAATAAATACTAACAAAACAAACGAGGCGGGACACTTTGAGAGGGGTGAGAGAGGTCCTAGGGAGTTTTGGTATAAAATTACATTACAAAAGCTCAAAATCTTCTTGAAATTTCGCTCAGAAATAATAGTGTTTCATACAGACAGAATGTATGACCTTTTGACCTCAAAATCAATAGGGGTCTTCCTTCGGCCACAGGGAGTTGTTATGTAAAATTTCATTGCAAAAGCTCAAAGAGTTCTCGAGATATTGCGCGGAAACGAAAGTGTTATAAAAGACAGAATTTGCGAATTTATGTCCTTGACCTTTGACCTTTCGACATCAAAATCAATAGGGTTCTTCTTTAGTCCATAGGGAGTTGCTATGCAAAATTTCATTGCGAAACCTCAAAGGGTTCTCGAGATATCAGAAACGAAAGCGTTACAGACAGACAGAAAGACAGACGGACGGATAGACCCAAATTAATATCCCCCACTTTTCAAGCTGGGGACAAAAAGATCATTAAAGTATGGGAAGTGCATGTACGTAAATGCTTATTATTTCAAAGAAGTTAAAAAGTGCCCTCATGAAAACTTGTCGCAATGTAAAGTGTCCTTAAATTCTTGAATTACCATGCTCTTTTTGTCTAAATTTAACATTTACATTTCACATTTTCATGTAGGATATTACTTCTTGGATCGGTTCATACCACAGACTGAAAATAGTACAAAATAACCCTCTTACAAGAATAGTGACAATAAGTCCACCTTAGTTAATTATATTTTCTTACAGTTCTAAATACATGAATATGGCCAGACAGAGGTTGACGATACACCAGATGAAGGAGGACCTAGCCTGTTTCCAGGTCTGCTGTTTGCTCCAAGTCTTTGTAACCACCGGGTCAAAGAATGTTCCAATCTTTGCCATCCTGAAAAAAATGAAAACGTGTTATGTTTCTTCCAAGAGCTATTTCTTTGGTTAATAAAGAAAATTATTATTTCAGACGAATAATTCAGTTTACTGTAACGTAATAGAAATATAAGATTTTTTGTAACCTACTACAATTTAGGTACATATAGAAGAATTGGAAAAAAATAATCTTAGTTGTAAGATTTTTTGTGAAAAGGGCTACTGTAGCTCTCCGAAAAAATAATATATTGACAGACCGGAAAGCTACTGTTAGGTATTTTTAAGTCAGTCTTTTTCTAAATTTATTATTTTATTTGTTTATTTAATATTCTGCAGTATTTATATAACTCCGGTCACTCGTTCTATTTTTAGAATAGTTTGTTTACGCCCGGTCACTCATTAGGAGTGACGGTCATTTGTTTATACCCCATCATTCCTTAGGAGTGATGGTCATTTAGTATATATACAGGTACTTATTTGATACTGGGACGGTCGTAAGACAGTTTTGATATAGTTCTGTTGGGATATACTTCGCTCAAATATTGTTTCAAGATTAATTATACAGTGTTTTAATGTGTTGATTTTGGATGATTCTTAACTACGATTATGTGTAAATAAAATTTAAACCGATACTGACTTTTGATTTCCAAGGAGAGAGTAAATTGCAGAGGGCGATTAAATACCTGGACTACGCATTGAGCGTTTACTTATATTTTACATATTATTGCTACCTGCAATAAGTTATGGATTACAGCTTACTCCACTTATATTGAACCCGCTTATTTTGAAATTCCGCTTATTTTGAAATGAAAATAAATCCCCAGTTTTAAACTCTCATATTCTTTGCATCAAAATAACGGTTATATTGAAATCGGCTATATTGAAATATCGCTTATATTGAAGCCATTGATCGGTCCCCACAGGTGATAATGAGTTGTTTTCATAACGGTTATACTGAAGTACTGCCTGGCGACTGTCGTTACAGTTAATTGGTGACAAAAATTATGCCTGACTGACCAGTTGATATACAAAGGTGTGAATAATTACGTTTTCACCTTATGTGTTTTGAAACTGCATGCTTTTAGGAAATAAAATTATTCACTGCTAAATTCTTTGTTTGCATGTGTATAATATGGAAGAATTTAGGCTAAAGGCAATATAATAACCCCCACAGATCTAGAAGAAACTTAACTTTCAAATTAAATACGTACTGTTAATTGCTGATGATAAGGCTAAATTCGAAATAGCAGAACTCAACAGTTTGAGATAGGTGATTTTTCTCCAAGACGTAAATAAATGCGATCGGGAAATGATAATGAGGTTGAAGATTGTCTTAAGTTATCGATACAACAGAAAAAAACAGTTTTATTTAAACTTTCAAGGACTAATACTCCATGTAATCTGTACACTGTTATAGGTAAACGATAACAAAATTAATTTGTTTGGGTCTGTTCTTTATTTTAAGATCGGGATTCAACTTTTAATGAAAAAAAAAAATGGCGGCTTCACGATTTCGCTTATATTGAATTACAGATATATTGAAATAATTTGCATGGTCCCCTGAATTTCAATATATCCGGAGTAGGCTGTAATTAATTTATCTGATAATTGCTCGGACGTTACACTACAGTGCCACCCATTGAAAAAACTGTATATGCATTGCGCACAACAAAGTGCACTGTTTCTCGATTTATTTCCACGTTTTTAAAATGGTCCAACACACTTCGTACAGATGTAAACTACGAAAGTACTTGATAGAGGAGTAAGCAGGTCTGGTACAATCACTAGATTTAGCTACGTAGCTTGATTTACCTACATAGCTTTATTTACCTACCTGAGGTAGCTTTATTTAGCTACGAAATTGATTTATTTCTATTAAAAAGCATTTTTCTCAGGGTGTGCAGAAAATATCATTTTGATGCAGTGATCATTTTCAACTTTGAACTCATCTGAAAACAACTCATGAAAAAATCCCTCTTGGAAAAATGTCTTTTTCTGCACTATTGCAATCAAAGTTCTGAAAGTTTTGGGGCTATGTACGACAGTTAGAACAGTTACTCACAATGTGAAGTAATCATACTCAGTCATGCCTCACCGCATCCAATAGAGAGGACAGCTAACCAAACAATGGAGTTACATGTTTTGCTCAAAATTGTCCTAACGCAGCAATGTATAAACCAACTCTGCTTTGGATTGTTTTTTAAGCCTCCCTAGTATAAATATCTATAGTCATTTAAATGCGACTTTTTGTCTCTATTTAATAGCGAGCGCAGGGAGCGTCGCAAAGCGACGCTCGTAACTGCGAGCTCTAACGACAACGCCTGGGCGAAGAGAAAATTTGGACTACTGCACATTCATTCTTTAGAATTTTTTGCCGCGGTAATTTTGACCCACAATGCATCACTTAGTAAGTTGCGTTCTTGCGAGAATGACTGCAAATGTTTACTCGCCTTGATTAAATGGATAAATATTGAAGATAAATAGTAAACGTAACTTTTTTCATTAAATTTCAGCACTGTTCAGTTTTTTCTTGGTATATGTAACTTACATACGACGTCATGTGACGTCAGAGTCTAGACGCACCAAATGTCACGTGCGGTTTGACGAGCCCGATCTAAATTAAAACAATAGAAGAGTTTGCGCTCGGTCTAACGGTCGCACCGTCAACATGTTAAAAAGAAAACTTTTGAAATCTTACCTTGAAATATCTAAATAAAGCTACCTGAGGTAGGAAAATAAAGCTACGTACGTAATTCTACCTACGTAGCTAAATCTAGTGATTGTACTGGACCTGGTAAGGAATCTTTTAAAATCTAGCCTTTTTGCAACTGAGGTAAGAATTTGGAAGAATTAATCCAGAACCGTGCGCACTTTGTTGTGCGCAATAAATATACTGTTTTTTTCAATGGGTGGCACTGTAGCTCTCCGGTATTCATTATATATTTTTTTTTCGGAAAGGTATCCAAGCGGTACCTCGAATTACCGAAATGCCCCTGATTTACCGAAATGCCCCTGGAAATTACCGAAATGCCCCCTAAAACTACCGAAATGCCCTTTAAAAACTTAAATATTTTGATTAATATGAAAGGTGGTGAGTTTATTATACATAATTTAAACTTTAAAAATAAAAAAAAAAATTATAAATGTGTTTTTTTTGTTCAAAAACGTGTGTTTATCTAAGAGAGATAACTCTGGTATGTGTAATTGATCTATCTCTATGTCATATTTCTTCGAAAAAATAATTACATCATTGTTTCAAATTCTATATTACTATCGAAATTGGTGTATTAAATTATACAACTCTGAACCCCAGGGAAATTTCGAAATTTCAAGGCAACAGAAAAAACGACGGTTACCTCGACAGACGGGAATTATAGTTAGAACGGTACCTAGTGAAAATGGCACCTGGTGAAAACGGCACCTGGAATATGCAAAACGGCACTTGGTTAAAACGGCACTTAGTGAAAACGGCACTTAGAGGAAAAAATATATAATTGTGTTAAGATATATATTTGACATAAACATGATAAATTCTTTTTTAATTCAAAATTTAATTTATTGACTTTGGAATTTTTTTTTGCTTCAATTTTGCTTTATTTTCAATCTTTTTTTAAAGTTAGTATTTATAAGCTATAACACAACAATGTGGGATTAAGAATAATTATATTTGTAGTGTAGTGTTGATACTATAAAAAAAGAAATGGTGTAAATGATTTTTTTTTAAATATTTACAGTGAGAGTCACTTTATCTCACATTTCTATCTAATTCTGTAGAAATTATTTTAACAATATCAACATTGTATCATCTTCATTATAAAAAAACAAATGTTTTGTTCTTTTAAGCACATTGTTATTATATTGTTAAATGCTGTATGGCTATTCATATTTTATGTACAGGTGGGAGAGGAATATCTAAGTTTTTCTAACTTGTTTACAATCCTTTTGACATTTTGTCTAGAAATACACAATAGTAGCTGTATATGATTGCAAATTGATGATCAGCAGATTATTGAAGGGGAGGTGTGAAATGGTCTTTTGTTTCCTATTCCTACAAGTGTATTCTAAATAAACATACTCTAACTGGCTTCTAATTAGTCAACTGTGACTGGCAACCCCCAAAACAGAGTAGTATACATATTTGAAACACTATAAATTTTTAAATTTCAAAGGATCATATAGTATAACTGGGATTTGATCTCTTTTGTAGAAAATAATATTAGATATATAATTTAAAATAGAAATACATTTAAAAAATCTAACCACTGTATGGAACATACTAAAGACCTGATATACTAAAGACCTGATATTTTGACCTGATGAAAAAAAATCATATAAAATTATCAATTTAAAGATTATATTTTAAATTTAAGTTGGAAAATTATTGATGACACTATACTAAATCACACTTTTTAGGGGATAACACTGACTTTGTATCAAGGATTACTTACAAAAAGTTGTTGACCTGATATTATTGAATGACCTGATATTTTTAAATGACCTGATATTTTTAGAGAAGACCTGATATTCTTATAAATGTCTTGTATGGGATGGTTTTATATGACCTGATATATCAAATAATTCTGTTAGAAAGATAAAACATTTTAAAAGGTTTTGACAAGAAAATGTTTGCAGAAATTTAATTATTTATGAAAAAAGGATTTTGAAATGACCTGATGATTTCCTACTAAAGACCTGATATTTTTTGATGACCTGATATTTCTGAATGCTTTGATGGATTTAAATGACCTGGTTTATTAATATATTACATATATTTTCAGAAAAATAACAGTTGAACTTTTTAAAATTTGAATATTTGCAGCAATTCAATTTCATTTAAGAATATCAGGTCTTTGAAGTAGAAATATCAGGTCATTCAAAATTATCAGGTCATCAAGTTTTGTGAATATACCTTGATATATAGAAAAATAATCTACAAAGTATCCACTGAAATGTAATTTAATATTGTTTCAACTATTATCATCAATAATTTTCCCTCAAAAATATGAAAAATAAAGTTTA